TAACTACTAACTACTAACTACTTACTACTAACTACTAACTACTTACTACTTACTACTTACTACTTACTACTTACTACTTACTACTTACTACTTACTACTTACTACCTACTACTACCTACTACTTACTACTACCTACTACTACCTACTACTACCTACTACCTACTACCTGCAACCTGCTACCTGCTACCTACTACCTGCTACCTACCACCTACCACCTACTACCTACTACCTGCTACCTACTACCTACTACCCACTACCCACTACCCACTACCCACTACAAAAAACCTACTACCTACTACCGACGGCCTAACTACCTACTACCTACTACCTACTGCCTACTACCTACTACCTACTACCTACCAGCTGGCTTCGAGCCGAGGAAATTTCAGCATTGTTTCCGGTCTTTGCATTGAATGTTGACGCCGCGAGTAAGGACACTGTTGTTCTGACTGCGCAATCATGCGGAACCGTAGCCGTCGGCGCAGGTACTGCTGTGGGTGTTCCACACTGGACTTCCCCACCCACGCAACAGCAGTTTTACTTAAATTTGAATGTTCACTTTGCTTTAATAACCCCCCTTCTCCCTTGATTGATTTCAGGCCCAGGCAGGGGGGGAATGATTATTCATCGGCGGGTCGGTCGTCGTAGTACGGTAGAGTGCAGTAGTACAGCGGTACACTAGTACAGTAGTACAGCAGTGCACTAGTATACAAGACACTAGTAAGTCAGTACACGAGTACACTAGTACGGTAGTACATCAGTACTGTAGCACAGTAGCATAGTGGTACAGTAGTTCCGCGGTACAGTATTCTAGTAGTGCAGTAGTTTAGCAGAACAGTAGTGCAGTAGTACAGGAGCACACTAGTGCAGCAGCACAAAAGTAGAGCAGTATGGTAGTACAGCAGTACAGCAGTACAGAGGTACAGTAATGCAGCTGTACAGTAGCACAGTAGAACAATAGTGCAGTAGTTAGTACAGTGCACAATAGTACAGTAGTACAGTCGTGCAGCAGGACACTAGTACTGTAGTAGACTGTACAGAACTGCGGTACGGCAGTACAGCAGTAGTACAGTTGTACAGTGGTGCAGTAGTACAGTGGTGCAGTTGTGCAGTAGTACAGTAGTACAGTAGTACGGTGGTACGGTGGTACAATAGTACAGTAGTACACTAGTACAAGAGTACACTAGTACAAGAGTACACTAGTACACTAGTACATTAGTACATTAGTACACTAGTACATTAGTACACTAGTGCAGTACAGTAGTACAGTAATACAGTAGTATTGTACTACAGTAATGCGGCAGTGGTGCAGTGGTACGCTGCTCCCGCGAACTTTCAACCTGGTCTTAAGGAATTTTACTAACATGGAAGACATGGAACTAAATCTGCGGCTTGGAATCCACTGGTGAATTGGTTTCCCTCTCCTGGCTGCTGCAGGCAGCACCACATAGCCCGCCCCGGGGCGGGTTTACAATTCAGGGGGGTTTATAATTTATAATTGAGGAGGATGCCGGTTTGTTAGTACTCCATCACGAGGGATTGATGTTTGCTCCGAGTGTACGGATTTTCATTAAGGAAGCCATGGTTTCAGTAGCCCTCTAAATCTGCGATTTTGGATTCTCGTGGCTTCTGAAGCAAAGCTTTCCCGATCAACGGCTTGGCTTCTATAGCTTGGTTTCCTTTTCCTGCACTCCATCAGGAAGGATTGATTTTGTGCTTCGGGAATAAGGAATTGTACTAAGGGAGGCATGGTATCTGAGGCGCACTAAATCTGCAGTCCCTCTCTGCTCTGTCATGCCGGTGATTGAATCAAAGCTTTGCCGTGCAATACTGCAGAGGTCGCGCACTAATTGCAGTTTCTCTCTCCGCCCTGCCTCTGATTGAAGCAAGGTGCAATGATTTTTCCCCTTCTCTGCAACACTGCAGCGGTCGTACTGATTGCTGTCTCTCTAGCTTTCTACAATACTGCACTCTGATGGAAACAAATCTCTGAAAAACCGATGCCAAAAACTGCAACAAAACAGTCATCAAATTAGGTTTCACAATTGACGGGGGTTTATATACTTGAGTTCGAGGGGGTCGGGGGAGGTTTCTTAATGCCAAGTCAACGTCATTATGCCTGCGGACTCTACGAAGGTCGGGGACTTCCCGCCTGAATCCTGCAAATCGAGTCATTTGCGGACGTGTGTGCTCAGCAGGATTGGTTCGAGCCATCATCTGCATTGTGAACGAGGTAGCCAGATTTCTGAGTTCAGCTCAAACGACGCTAGATTTGCATGGACACGCATTATCTGTCGGCTCCGACTCTAGCGTCTTAGTGTGCTAGCTGAAGCCACAAATGCCAGACCTGCCTACTTTGCCGCTTTGCTGCAATAGGCTGTCATCGTGGGAAGCCATGGGCCATAATGTGACCTGACGTGGCTAACTAGCCATGGGCGCTCTTTTGAGTATGCGGTCGCAGGCTCAAGTTATGACTGACAGCAGATGGCGTTCAGACCATAGAAGCCGTGCGTGCAGGATACGGAGGCCGCGGCGTTGAGCAAGGTGCCAGAACCGATCCCATAGGCTTTTGCTGTCCTATCTAGAAGGTTCCTGTGCTTGCAAGGATGAGGTGTGGCAGTTGCGCAAGAAGCATTTTTGCCCTGCTCAAAGCGTCTCCTATGCTAACACCGATCCGCCAGGGCCAAAGCTTACTTCCCTTTCACTCTTAATCTCGCTTCTTAGTGCATGATGTCGCAGGCTGCTCATCGTTCGTGGCCAGGGCAGCCACTTGTATGATCAGGAAGGCAACTCGTGCCCTTGTCAGTCCTGCACCATGTTCCAAGGTCATATCATAGCACGGTCTAAAGTGAGGTACCTCGACACGAGAAACAACGTGTGCCATGCCGATCCCTGAGCCAACCTCTGCATCTGTTTGTTGATGGTCTGCTCGCACGCCGCGAAGGTGGGACATTGTCACCCGAAGGTAGCTGCTGCAGTTGCAGAGCAAGCTGCAACACTCAATACGAACACGAGGTTTGACCTGCAGGGCTGGACACGAAGCCTTTCGATTCCATAATGTGTTGTTGGTGTTTTGAAGAGGTATTTGCATCCGAACCTTTGCCTGCTGGCAAAGCGCTTGACGGAGACTTTTCCTGCCGGCAGCGGCTTGGAGGCGAATACAAACCCGGAATCAGAAAAAGTGTTTCTTGCAGATGAAATCTGTAGGTGTGCTTCTTCGTGAACTCTGGCTCCGAGGAGTGCTCAGACCCGTCGTGTGCCGTTTTTCCCTCTCCCTCTCCCTCTCCCTCTCCCCTCTCCCCTCTCCCTTATCTCTCTCCCTCCCGTCCCCTCCCCTCCCTTCTCCCCTCTCCTCCCGCTCCCTCCCTCTCTCTCCCTCCCTCTCTCTCTCTCTCCCTCTCTCTCTCCCTCCACTCGCCCCCCCCCTCCCCTCCTTCACTCTCACTGGTCTTATTGCCAGGCGAATGATCTGGCGGTGCGTCTGGCATTCTCCCGCCTCTGTCTCATCGACTTCTTCCGCCTCGCCTGTGTCATGAATGGCTGAACCAGGGACAAGCTCTCGCGATATCATCGTGGTCGACCATGGGTGCCAGCTTTGGAGTAGCGAGAGCATGCGATTGGATTGCTCTGTTTCGTGCATTGCCAGGTATCATGGGCACACCCAGCAGACGATAGAGAGCCTTGACGCAGTATTGCACAGCTGGACTTGCAAGTACGGGCTTGGGAAAGTCCGCCATTACCATGTGCGCCTCAACTCTAATCCAACGACGTGACACCCTCTCCGCGTTGTCACATGACTGAACTTCTCTTCCGCCGAGCTGCAGGGAGGGAGGAACGATTTGAGGAACGAGGCTGGCTGGGTTACCCAAGGTTCAAACTGCATCCAGATTCTCCCGCTCCCTCTGTTGAAAAAGAAAAGGGGCTGAACAAATGCTCCACACTTCGATTCTTGTGGATCCCAGCTAGGACGCCACTGACACCCAAGAGGCAGAAGCGTCAGAACTGACCTGACCGCTTGAAACTCCAATGCCTTTCGGATGCGAGAACAGTGTGGACAATGTGAAGACTGCTGCCTTCTCACGTCATGGCCTTGAAGAAGAGGTTGGAGCCATGCATTGAGCACGTTCTGCGTCTCGACGTGGGTCTTGATGCGTTATGTGCTCGTGCAGCCGTTCATACGAACGGCTTATTGACGTAGGGTGCTATATGTGCAACATCCAAGCAACGGGAGTTATAAGTTTCCAAACGGTGTTTACCGTGTTCTGGGGTTCTATAATGGTGCTTCTACCATTGTGTGGTGTGCATTGGTGCTTTTGGGTATGTGCGGCTTGGAATGCTACCGGTAGCTGCTCTTGCTCTATTCGGGTCAATGGCAGAATACTCTCAGTCAGGAAGCAAGGGCCTGAATCGGAGCACCGACCATTCCTGCGTCAAATCGCCCAAGATCGGGTAAGGGCATCAGCTAATCGGCAAGCCTGCCGTCATGTTTTCTCCGCGCCGGATAACCTAGATGCTTCTCTGCTGAGGCTTCTCTGTCGAATACCTGCTGGGTCTGCTTAATTGTGCGAATGAGGGATCAGTTTCGGGTGTCCACCTCCCAATCAGTTGAGGCTTTCTGCAGTTAGGCTTGGAGGAAATGCCGAAACGGGACAAGCAAGGCCTGAGAAGGAAGTGACCCATCTAGGATCTGTTGGTCGACTGCACATGCAGTGGGCTAGCATCAGCAGAACACTTGGCCCGTGGAATCGAGACTCCACATGCTCAGAGGACGGTGTTGAGAGCTCGCGACGCCCAGGATCAGTCCGTACAAGTTTGACCACAGAGGAGGTGAAGGCGCGAGACCGAACATCCACAAGGCACGGCCCGCCTAGGAAGGTCACAGGTCATGCCAACAGAGCAGACGGAGAACAGACACCACCCCTAATTCAGGACGCCCGTGCAACAGCAGAAGTCTACGTACAAGCTACAACTGATTATATGAATGGGCGCAGCGCTCACATGTTTAATTGTGATTGCCACTTTGGGTCTTCACGACGAGCCCGAGCGGAGGAACCAGTTCTTGCCATGATTCCTGTGACTTCACTCCCCAAAGCTGCAGACACCTCCAACGGTTCGTCCATGGTGAGCAATGATGGTTAAAAGTGGATCAACATGGCAAGCGATGAGTACTGGTGATGACTGCATGTCGGCGTTTGCATATTGTGTCAAAACACAGGCTACCGTCAAGAGCGGTGCAGGCTCTCTACCTTTCTTTACCTACCTGCATGTGCCTGCCCGATTTGCCAGGTGCCTTGTCCAGATACTTTCCGTGGCCCTCACCGCGGGCCGGATGCTGCGGAGCAGTACGCGTCAGCTGTTGCAGCAGCCTGCAAAACGGCGGGGAACGTCGCAGCTTTCTTTGTTGAGTCCGGCATGTCTGTGGGTGGTGTCATATTGCCTCCCAAGGGCTACTTGCAAGCGGCATACCGGGCAGTGCGTCAAGCGGGAGGTGTCTGTGTTGCTGACGAAGTGCAAGTTGGCTTTGGGCGCTTTGGTGACTATTTCTGGGCATTTGAAGAACAAGGTGTTGTGCCGGACATCGTGACCATGGGCAAGCCCTTTGGAAATGGCATGCCCCTGGCTGCAGTGGTAACCACGAAGGAAGTGTCTGATGCTTTCCACAACGGTTTGGAGTATTTCAATACTTTTGGTGGCAATCCTGTTTGTTGTGCTGCTGGCTTGGCTGTACTGGACGTCTTGCGACGGGAGGGGCTGCAAGACAATGCTGCCAAGGTTGGCAAATATGTTTGTGAGCAGATTCGGCAGCTTTCAACAAAGCATGAGCTTATTGGTGACGTCAGAGGTCGCGGCCTTTTTGTCGGAATCGAGTTTGTTCGGAATCGCGACACGCTCGAGCCAGCAACTGCAGAGACTTCCGAGATCTGCTCACGCATGAAGAGCGAACACAGTGTGCTGATGAGCATCGACGGGCCGCATGATAATGTTCTCGTCATCAAGCCGCCAATGTGTTTTTCAATCGCCGACACAGACTGCATGGTACAAGCAATGGATCAGATTCTGTCCACTTTGGTCGGTCCAACGCCTGGTGTACAGGTTACCCACACGCCAACGTGACGGACAGGTATCGTTTCGTGATAAATTTTGCTCCTGCTTCTGCACGTGCAGACGAAACCAATCAGCCAATGAGACCGTGCGATGAGATGCAACACACTGTGTGATAGGCGCACGCCGGCTTAAGAAGGCATTCATGTCAAGTTCAAGCAGTTGTTTCCAAGCATGTCATGTAGTTTCAGTTACTAGGGAGCAGACAATCAAACGACAATGCCATAATAAAACAGTTCTAGTACTACAGCCCAAGCGCAATCTGAGCATGCCCTGGAAGATGGATTCGCAAGACAAGGCGGAACCCCCTGAAAGGACGACCCGGGCCAGTGAGATCAGTCCATTGTTGCGACTCGGGGCATTTTTGCAAATTTGGGCGGAAGTCGAACCTTTCGAGTTTCTACTCGATTGGAGAGTGGTGCAGGTGTACCTTGTTCCTGTATCCGCAGAGGATTCGGTCGTCGCGTTTGTGTTGCAAACGACTTCGCAAGCCGCAGAAGCAAGCATGATTTGCAACGAGGTTTGAGCTTAGTGATGAATTGGGGGGAGCAGTGTGTCTGTGAGGTCTCCATATTTGACGGTTATGTCTAAAGTCGCGGCCGCAGTTTTTTTGGAGACCCGATATCGGGTTTACAAGGGTCATGTCTGCCTGTCATCTACTCTTAGGTGCTTGCAATGTAGGGTGCTGCTAGAACCTTTGAGCGAATACATGCGTGGACGATACTGGGAACTCTGAAAAACGACAGTTTGACGGAGACAGATGAGGTGAGCAACATGCTAGAATCACCAGCTGCACCAGCGTTTTGTACTCCAAGCTGTGGGCAATGGTGATGTTCAAGAACACAGCCGGCCCTAAACTTTCGAGCCTATTCGAAACTGAATCTTAGGATGTCTTAGGCGGATGCACAGGAGCGTTCCTGGTGACTTGGCAAGCTGTCGGGGAGGTGTCCTTGAGCTGATGATTTAAGTGGTGTCGCAGGACTCCCGATTCCGCGAACTCCGCGAATTCAAGCTCCGTGAAAGCTCCGGTGCAAGAACCAGGCAGAAGAGCATTAGGCCTCGGGACTTGAATATCCTTTGACCGCTCGGCTCCGTCGCTCTGTTGTCTGCTGAGTCTTTCAAACTGAGTTGACTGACTGCAGGAGTACTTGAGCGTCCACCCGTGCCTCAGGCCCGTCCCGAAATCAAATCGTCACATGCGAGATGTGTAGTTAGTGTAGTTGAAGCTTAGAGAAAGCGTCACGATGCCGCTGCCTGCTTAAAGTTTACCTTGGCTTTCACCGATCATCAGCGTTCGTGGCCTGCTGGGCACCGCAGAATCCCTCCAACTTTGAGTTGCTTAGATGCCTCGTGCTTCAGCTGACACTCTGATGCAGTGGATTGGTACTGTGCCAGCACTACGAGGGTTTTGGACTCGAAGTCGCGACTGGGATGAAGCAGTTCTGAGATTTTTGCTTTGCCGCGTCAGGGGCCAAGAATCCGTACGATGAATTGTTGAGGAACTGATCGTGACTAGCTCCAGTATCGGTCACCGGTCATGTAAAGTTGCAAGCTCCTCGTCGAACGATCCTGAGCTGTTCCGCAGGCATGGATATACGGAAGCACTGGAGGCAGGAGTGTGCAAATCATGATAGATTTCACGATGAAGCTACTCCAACTGCCAGCTGGAAAAGAGGCAGCTTACCTTGTGCCCAAAGTTGGCACCCTACCGGTAGACTGCTGCATGGTCCAGCTTCTGCAGTCAGGCGCGGATTGGGTGGAGTAGTGATCCGGGTACTCCTATCTTTGAATCGCATTGTCTTTAGATCACGTTCGTTCTGTTTTTCGGTGTGTAGTTCTGTAAATCCAATCGGAAGACATCTTCGGCAAAGTTACTATGCAAATGTTCGTTCTAGACTGGAGCGCACAGTTGGATTCTAGACTGGGGTATGTTCGAAAATTCCTTCCCGCCGAAATGATACAGATGAGGATAGTCGAGGTGATTGTGAAGATGTTGATGATTTTCGTCATACTCATCATTATCATCATGCTCCGCTTCATCTTCATCGTCATTACCACCACCACCACCACCACCGCCGCCGCCGCCGTCACCATCGTCATCGTCGTCATCATCATCGTCGTCGTCATTGGCAGCGTCAACATCATCGCCAGCATCAGCAGCATCCTCATGATTGGTCATCACCGTCGTGATCGCAATCACCCTGCGCAGAGTAGAGATTTTTTTAATGACTTTTTCTGAACTGATCGTCGCAGACGTGCGACGCAAACAACAAGGAGATCATATTTGTTCCGTGTCGCACCCTGTCTGCTTCCTCTCCATGTTCTGCACAACACAACCTCATAATCACGCTGCCAACGATGCCGTGGCACAGTAGTACGAGTGCTCGGAAGCATGTCACTCGGTGCGGACACTGAAACAGTACACAAGGACTCAAAGAAAAGCTGGAGCTCTTGCCCTACATGTAAGATCCTTCATGACGGAGTTCAGTGTAGCCGATCATTTAGCCGCTCACCCAAGGGCTAAGCCAGGTTGCCGGAGCAAGATATGTGCTAGATTTGCCGTCAGGATGCTGCCGCCACAGTCTGCCTGGACCAGGCCGGGATCGACTGGCTCTGGAAGCGCGTCTGATGTTTCATTCTTTGTCTTTACTGGACGAGGCCCAGTACTCCTCGTACCGTCGCAGCTCTGGGCTTGAAGGTTCCACTTTGGACCAGCCCTATGTTGAATGCTGCAAGGTCCCAGCTGCATGTTATCGTGGGATGGCGGGTCCTCAGGCCCGAAGCAAGAGCGTTTTTGCTTCTCTTGGCTGCAGTTGGGTGGTCTGAACATGCTTCATTTTGAGGCTGCCAGGCCTCCTGGCCAAGTAGTTGTTGTTGCTTGGCTGCCGCATTTTCTCTTTCGTGTCAGCAGGGAAATGCGAGTGCTGAGGTCAGAGAGCTCTCGCCGGGTAGGCCGGTAGCGAATGCATTTTTTGTGTGACTTCCGCGATGTCGTTATCAGATTTCGCACAGTTTGCTAGCCAAGGGTTCAGGTTCTACATTCCCTCAAGGCCGATGACCTATGCAGCACATGCAGCTCCACAAGCTGTCACTCCCACAATCGGTTCTGCTGCTGCCCAAGCACGCTTTCACAAGATGTCAGAGTGTTGCCATGCCAAGCTGAGGTCGCTCCAGCTTCTGGACAGTCGGTTCAGTTGTCGCAAGTTCCAATCTCAGCTACTCTATTTCCGTGAGGAGGTCCGGAGATGCGTGTGAACGCCCAGGGGCAGATGTCTCCACCAGTGCTGCTGCGGCCACGTTCGCTGTCCCCAACGCCAGCTGCTAGGCAATGCTGTTCTGTTGGTTTTACGTCAACCTCAGGAGTTCATGATATCCATGCCCAACATCAGGCCGCCTGGAGCTACCCCATCCTGTCCCCAAATGGCATGCCAGCCGACACCCAGAACGCAAAGCTCGCATCTGGGACGTTTTGCTGGTGCCTTTCCAACTGGCTCAACGCTTGGATGTTACAACCTTTCCAGGGCTTACAGTGCTTCTGACGCCACCCTTACTTCTGAAGGTTGCGTGTCGGCCACATCACCTCGGAGAGAGCGTTCTTTGTCACCGGTGGGCTTGCCACCTGCCGGATGCCCAGCTAGAAGCTACGTATGATATTGATTTCCGGTCAACTCAGGTTCCCGTACTTTCTGGAGTCGGTGTGTTGAGCTCAGTTGTGCTGGTGAGACTACGACATCCAGGGATTTCCCAGCGCAGCTTCCCACAGAAGCTGCCTGAGACTACAAGTCACCTGGATGACATGCCTCCACTCTATTTTGATTGTTGTGATTTGTTGTGTATAGCACACGTGTGTGCGCAGTAAGACACGGGAACAGCGACCGCCGCTAGCACTCCGGTTCGACGTTGGAAAGCTTTTGAGCTAGGATCCATGTCCGCGGCGAACACCCCCACCAAGGCGTCCACTAAGGCGATGCCGACGTGCGGCGTCGGTCTTGGCTCGAGGCCGGAGTGCCGATTCTCCGGCGTGGAATGCCCTCGCGGCGGAGCTGACACGGGAGGACCGTACGGCGTTGGGTCAGCTGATGATGGTCGCCAAGTGCGGGGCGGGTTTAATAAAGGATGAATTGGAATCGCCAAATGAGGGGGCGTGTTTAAGATATACAGATATGTGATGAATCGAAATCGCGGCCGGAATGTTTTCCGGACCAGAGCCAAACGCTCTCCCCCAAGTATTGGCTTATTAGCGCTTTTGGAGCCAAGATTCTCACGCACGGCCAGAAGGATTTACCCCGAGTACTAGCGGATTCTGTTGGACTGACAAAATGTTTTCCCCCGTGCATCCGGAAGCAAACGGGGGGGCAAACCCTCCACCTGGAATGCGTGTCACCTTGCCCCTTTCTATCTTCCTTATAAAATAGGAATAGATTTTTGATCCCTAAAAATAGTTTTTTTGAACCTTTAAACTATTTTCGAGTTTTTAAACTAGCCTTTCTTGATGTCCCACCCGCAGAGTGCTACGTGTGTTTGTTGCGAATGCTGGCCAGACGGGTGTTGCCTCCTTGCTTTCGCTGAAAGGGTGCGATTGTGTGCGATTTGTCGTGTTGTAGTTCGTCTTGGCGAATTGAAGCGTATGTGAGGCTGCAGCACCCGCAGCACCAAGCCCTCAAAAATGCCTGTCACCTCGCACAGCTGTATCCTCAGTGTCTGCTCACGAACGAGCAACTCTGGAAAGAGTTCGGTTGAAATGCAATGTTTTGCAGGTCATCGTTCGTCACGCAACGCCGCGTGCTTCAACAAATGTTCCTAAAGCCCAAAGCCCTGCCGTGGCCTCGCATCAATTGCTCTGTCGAAAGCAGCCGGCAAGTTTTTCAAATCTTGCCTTGACGCGAGGTTCAGGTCTTGGTCACGCCTCGGGCAGTGTCGTGGGAAACCGAGTGAGCCGGACTTGTGTGTGACGTGAATGCGTCATATTGTCGTTTTTGTCAGGTCTGGCAAAGGCCTTGCAACCCCTGGAGGTATACTAGAAGGCGATGGGATAATGTGCCAACATTCAGCTTCTGAGCCCTTCTTGCAGGCCTCCGAGCGGTTCCGACTTTTCCAAGGACGGCCTTCCAGTGTCTTCGTCACCTGGTAGCGTGCATGGGTCGAGACACAAGGACAATTCTGCATCCACATGTGGGGAATGCGCCAGGCAGGATTTCTAGAAGCATTGCAGGAGCAAGTGGAATGATAGCAGGCCGTGGGTTGCAGTGTCAGGCGGGCCCGGTGTTCGACGCGCCGCCTCCCACGGAGCTGTGAAATCCCACAGGCACGGCCAGATCGGCCAAAAATTCGGATGCCGCATCTGTGTCAGCATCTGCCTAGGACTGGTCCTGCTGTGCTCCCTCCGAAGCGACCGGTTTCAGGTGCAAGCCGGGCTCCGGAATGTGTGGGTTAGTGAAGTCGGAGATGATCGCAGCGAGGTGCGGCCAAGGAACTCTTCAGCGAGTGTCCGGCTTGGCTTTGTTGCCGTCAGGCCGTAAGGGCGATGTGTGCTGTCGTGCAGTGCCATTTAAGGCAGACTGCTGCCGGACAACTTCCGCCGCGAGGGACAGATCACGCAGTCATTCAAGCTGCAAGCCGAGCTCGAGCCGAATCAACGGGGCGCAGCTATGCGCAGCTCAAACCTGGTAGGACATCCACACAAGCAGCCACGGTCGGGACCTAATTCGACAGGTCTTTTCTTGCAGACGAGAGATTCAGCAGACTCACTGCAGCGCGATGTTGCTGCTAAGGATCAGTTCTTCGCTGATGGGGAGAAGAAGGCTGCTCGTTTCTGCTTGTGTGTTTTGCAAGGGCATGTGAGGGAACCCGACCAGAGGACCCCAGCTAAAGATATGTTTTGGGCATTGTAGTTTGACGAGAGCATGACGGCTTCAGCGGGGCTGGAGTGTTTTGATGCATCCCAGTGTTTTTGCCACCATCCTGGCAGTGGCGTCATCACCTGGCCATGAGGCACAGCAGAGGACTCTTGGAAGGCATGATTCGTGCAGGTATAAATGCCACGATCCATTATTCTGAGATCGCTTGCGAGACAGGGAGCGGCACCTGTCAAGGGCGTCCGGAGCTGGGTGCATTGCAGACGGTCTTCCCAACTGGGACACCCAGACTGCATTCTGGCAGCTTCTAGACAGCAGAACGACGAAGAGGTTATCTTCCAATACGATGCTTGGAGGCAAGGAAGCGGAGGGAACACATCGATCCAGGCTGGTCGGCCTGTCGTAGGAAAGCTGCTGCACAACGCAGCTCTCGCTGCCTGTGAACGTCTCAGCCTGTGGTCAAAGGCCGCGGCGATTTTGCAAGATGCAGCTTTGCGTGGAGCGCTGCAGCCAGACAGTCGCCCTCTGCTGGACTTGGTCTCCTTCAACTTGGTTTTGGGGGCCTACGCTGCGGCTCATCAATGGGAGGCAGCCCTGGATCTCTTTATTGATATGCAACGTACGGTGACGCCTGATGCTTCGTCTTATGCCGCGCTAATGGAGGGCTGCAGAAGTGCTCGCAAATATCACATCGTAAGAATCGCGTCCAAATGGTCCAAGCAATGCTTCGAAGAGACGCTGTCGAAGATCAATGACAAGAGAGCTTCCTCTCGCTACTGCTATTTGTCCCTCAAAACGTTAGTCAAACGGCAGCTTTGGTCAGAAGCTACACATTTGCTTTGGCAACTTGCCCATGCTGGACGAGCTCTCGACACGGAGCTTCTAAACTTAGCCATCTCTGCGTATGGGCATGGTCAGCAAGCCAGGTTTGCATTGAAGCTTCTCGACAAGGCCGGGGCTCGGCTGGGGACGCTGCAGCTGCCATCCGCCAACTTGGACAGCTTTAAACTGGCAGCTATGTCTGTACCTGTGCCATCTGTGTTCAGCCCGAGCTCGAGCTTGCCTGGATGGCCGGAAGCCTTGATGATACTGGAAGAAGCCAGTCGCTCACGGTTGCAGCCGGACATGCAGATCTTTACAATCGTTGCAGGTGTGTGCTCAAGGGCTCACTCATGGCAAGCAGCTCTGAAGGTGCTGGAGGCAGCTAGACATCGGTGTCTGGAGTGGGACATCTTTGCATACAATGCGGTTCTCCAGGCATCAGCGCGCTATTCAGTTGAATCCGACGTGAACTTTAAGAAGGTCTGGCGCCAACTCCATCATCAGCAGCTCAGTCCTGACGGTATCACGTATGGCACAGCTATCGCACTCTGCGATCGTTCCCACAAGTGGGCCCATGCTCTTCACTTGCTAAGCGAGATGCAGCACCCAACAGCAGTCTGCTTGACCTCAATTTTATCAGCTTGTGCTAGAGGCTCTGCATGGGAATTGGCAGTACATCTGTTTTGGACGATGCCCGGACAGTGGGGATTCCGCCCGCACGCGGCAAACATGGTTAATGCCCTGCATGCTCTGGGCAAGGCCCTTCGCTGGCAACAGGCTTGTGCCTTGCTTTCTGAGTTGGAGTGGGCTAATGAGCACATCTCCTGGCAGCATTACTTCGCGGCAGCTGACGGTTGTGGTGAAGCCAGTGAATGGCAAAGGGCTTTGCAACTCGTCTTGGAGAAGCTGCCGGGCAAGTTTGAGCCTCCTCCAAGCTACCGCTTCAGTGCAGCAATCGGTGCATGCAAAAGTGGGTTGGTTTTCTTGGAGGCGAGAGGCAAGAGTACTGCCGAACTTCGCTCCTCGTCGATCTGGGAGACCGCTCTGACACTGTTCTGGTCAGGCTTAGAGGAGACTCTGCTGGCAGAAGAATCCGAGGCTGGAGTTTCATGCAGCGGCAGGTGTGTGTGTATTATAGGGAGAACGAATGTTGTGTTAAGACTCTGCATTAAGCTTGCAGGGGTCCTCGCGGTGCCTTGGTATGCGCCCGGTGCCTTTTGGGTTTGAGGTCAACTTTAGTGACCCTCGAGCTTTGGTTTGCACTTCCTGACTTCATTTTTAGGTCCTGTTCGGTTTTTTAGGCTTTAATGCCGCCGTTCATGCATGGACGGCTGAGAATCTTGTCTTACAGCATGATCACTCAAGCCGCTTGCTTTTCATTTCATGTCGTTTCTTGTTGTGAAACACACGTGTGTGTGTGTGTGCAGTAACATGTGGTAACGGCGTATCGCTGCAGCACTCCGCTCGAACGACGATTTTCAGCATTCAGCTAGACGCCGTTTGAGCCATGTCTTCTTGCCCGTGCGCCGCCTCAAGGACGCAGCGAAGATTCGCCACGGCGAGCGGCAGCCCAGTCAGCTCGTTCTCCGGCAGCGGCGGAGGTGCCTTAGATTTGGCCGGCACCTGCGGCGGTGCCTAGCGGCGGATGGGTGGCATGGCAAGCCTTGGCGGCGGAGATGACGGTCGACGACAGGGTGGCGCTGGCGGAGTTCTCCTCCGTGCTCATGGTACCGGCGGCCAACATGCCGAATGCCGACACTTTGAGGGCACAAATGAGGAGCCGCTTGCCGGCAACCGCCGCAACGGCGAGCGCGGTGCAGCCAAGCCCTACTCCGACGACTACCACGACCCTCCTCCTCTTCCTCCTCCTCCCCTTCCCCCTCCTCCTCTTCCTCCTCCTCCTCCCTCTCCTCCTCCTCCGTCTTCCTCTTTGCCGTCCTCTTCCTCTTCTCCGGTTGTTCTTGTCCTGTCATCGGGTGCCTTGAGTACGACTACAGCTTCTGGCAATGTTGAGAATCGAGCCAATCTTCCGGTTCGGCCGGCTACAGTTGCAGCCACATTGGCTGCAAGCCACAAGAGAGACTGATCCTCACAGTCGTGCGGCCTTGCCTAGAAGACGTCGACAACGGAGACATGCGGCCCGCGGGCCGCAATGGAATTGGACGGATGCCATGATCCGGGAACGTTCCCGATCCCGATCTGATACCACGGTCTCACCTGGTGGCACTAGAGAACTGCGCTGACGTCGTGCCAGCTTATGTGATTGAAAAGAGGCCAGCAGCTCAGTTTGTCGAGTGTCAGAATGTGGACTCTTTCATGCGTTGGTGCATACCTTTGCCTGTTGCCGACCGTTTTCTATTGTTGCCTTTCTAGGGTTACAGTCGCACGTGATCTATAGAAGTGCTCTCTGGGTCCGGTAGCTAAACTGTCTCGAAGCCATGGATCAAAATACGACGAGCAATTTCGACGCAGCAGATGCACATGTACAAGATTCGACTCGAGGAACGCAGGTTCCAATGGAGGCTACTACGTACGAGGACATTGTGGAAAACAACGCATCAGTACATGTGACACCAGTTCCGTATTCCGAGCCTGCGTTACTTATTCGCACCTTTCAAGGCCAACTCGATGCTATGATGGTGGAACATGAAAGAATGCGTCAGCAACTATCTTTGCTATCCAACACTCTGCAGGCCTGGCAAGTTGAGCATCAGCAGATCATCACGCTCTTACGCGGAATCCAAGAAATCATGGATCCAGAGTTTGCACCCGGGGAACCACTCCACGGTCTTCGCATTCCCTGATAATCCGTAGTGCGCACATGCTCCTTTGCGAGGATCAGCTAAAAATGAGTGACTGCAGAGTGCCTGAAGTTGTTCCTCGTTTATGCATGTTCTACGAAGCTCACTGCCTTGTCCATGCTCGCAGCCTTTTGCTTCTCTAGGCTCCCTCTTTCAAGTTCTATCTGTTGGTAGCATGTCCGCCCGTGCAGTCATGATGATTCCGGAGGCATCTCATGCAATCATGAATTACCTGCTTCCTTCGTTGTTGACTTACATTTGAGCTCGAACTTCCGGCATTCTCCCAGTTAACGGGATCTGCTCTTTCAGCTCGTATGATGGATCGTGAACATGCAGTTATGACAACGGCAAGGCTTTTACAGGACAAACTTCGACCACTTCCTGTTCTATTCTGTCGGATGATACGCCCTCATGTTGTCCCGACGGATGAAGTCTATTGCTATACGGTTCATATTCTGCAGATTGACGCAATCCGGTGCCGACGAATTGGAAGTGCGTCCAAGGCATGGATGCATATGGTATTGATAACCGCCAATGGTGAAGGATGGGTGCGTGCACAATCTTTTCCTACCACCGCCTTGGATCGTAATGTCAGCTGCACTTTGCATTTTGAGGAGGATCATGCTGATGTCAAAACCGATGTCTCTATTGCTGACCTTATGCATGTTCAGACTTTCAAGTGTCCTTTGAGTATTCCATGTTCCGCGACGTTGTGATCTTCTCAAGCCACATACTGCGGAGACTGCTCGCATGACGTGAAAAATAAGCTTGCAAATTCTTGCTTCTGTTCTCTCGCTTCTCTCTCTCTTTCTCTTTCTCTTT